CCCCAAAACCCCAAAACCCCAAAACCCCAAAACCCCAAAACCCCTTTTATTCAGTGACTTGTTGAAATTTATGATTTTAGCAGACATCTTATCATTAAGGAATGTATTCAAACATTGTGAAGCCCTTAATGAAGTCTCTTGGCGAACATTTCATCCCGAATTCTTTGAATCTCTTGATTCTGCTGCTGAAGTGCCATTTGCATGAACGATACAGGCTTATCATCCTAAGAGCATCAAAAGAATTCTTACCTTCTGAGTCTTGTTTGTAGCTGTTTCAGACATTTCTATGCGAAAATACAACCTGAAACTACAAGATTCTTACCTTTATAGTATGACTGGTTATGCAAAGCTATTATAAACGGATTGTAAGATACTGATGCACTTGAAATAAACTCTGAATTCATCTTATTTTCTGGAATATTCACCATAAAATTTGTGCATGCAGGGATCGTCCCAAATGTTGAATTAGAATAGTTGTGGTCAGGGACTTGCTTTCTGTTTGTTAATGCATTTGAAGCACGGTCAAAGCCACTCTGTGATAATGATTTTGAAGAATAATCAGGTGAAAAAGGATTATTTGGTGTTATATTCAGATGCAATCTGAGGAATAGATGGTGTCTTGAGAATATCCTCTTCTTCAGATTCTTCCTCCTCTTCAAATTCTTTGTCTTCTTCATTATCCTCATCATCTTCTTCAGATAATCTTTTAAGATTTTCCTTGCTTTGAAGCTTATCCTCTTCTTTTGGATAAAATTTAGATATATTAGGAAAACTTTTGCTATAACTAAGCTCACAGTCATCTGATTCTACTGTCTTATCTTTGGAGTCTAGTACATAGTCTGGATAATTTTCAAAGGGGTTGTCAGATAATGTTTCAATTAGCTCATCATCACAATCAACTTCTTCCAATTCTCCCGCTCTTGCAGAATGTGGATTATTATACTTACTGGCGTCTAAATCTATCAAATAGAGCTTCTTACCTACTTTCGGAGTTGTAAGTACAGAATTGTCATCTTTAGAATTCGCACTATTGCAGACACTATTATTCAGCTCTTTATTAAGCTCCTCTATTTGATCAGAAACCTGACTGATTCACTCAGTGATCTCTTGAACTACAAAATTTCATCATTTTTCTTACTTTTTCACCAATTTTGAGGCATCTTTGAGGTCTTTTTAGAGGAATTTTCCATTTCAATAAATTATTTTAAAACAGGGGTTTTGGGGTTTTGGGGTTTTGGGGTTTTGGGG